CGGCGGTGCAGAAACACTCGCAGTCGCCCCCGGAGTCGCAGGCGCACGCGTCGTTCACGCAGGCCTCGTAGTACTTGGTGGAGTCGACCTGATGGGGGGCAGAGGGGCCACTCAGCGAGGGGAGCGGATGAGAGGTTGTCCCACCCGTGGGGACAGCAGCTCACCTGCCATCTGAGACCGTGCCTGCTGCCTCCGGAGGCCCCCGCCCACCGGCAGCCTCCACTCGTGCCCCTGGCCCCCGCTCTGGCCTCACCCACCCGCATCTCTTGCCTCTCGCTCAGGTGCAGACCAGCCCTCCTGACGAAGGGAGGCTGCTGCCTCCCAAACACACTCCCCTCCCGGGCAGCAGAGCCTGGTGGGCCCCAGTCTGGTGGACAGCTCCACCCACCGGGGGTGCAGGCCAGGCCCCGAGGGCTTCTGAGCCAGGGCGGGCGGTCGGCACAGGCAGCCTGCCCAGCACAGACCATTCCGGCCAGGCGCCCTCCTCATCACCGGGCAGGTCCCGGATCAGCAGACTGTGAGGGGGGAGGGCACTGGAGTCCTTATCACCAGGAAGGACCTCGGGCAGCTCTGGGGCTGATGCCCAGTCCTCTGTGCCGTGCGGCCCGGCGTGGGACTGACAGGTCAGGGACTGTGGGAGGGCGAGGCAGGCAGGGCCTGTATGGCTGGCAGCTCCACTGCCAGGGCAGGAGGCTTAGTGGTCAAGGGGCGCAGTGAGGACGCCCTGTGCTGGGACTGGGCACTCCTCGGTGCCCGCCCAGCGGGAGGTCCAGGCGGTGCTCCGTGTTCAGGGCAAAGAAGACCGTCCTCCAAGGCCCAGCCCAGCCAGATTCCACTCCCACCAGGAGCAAAGGGGGTGGCCCCACCCCCGCCAGCCCTCAAGCCCTGCCCCCAGCCCAGAGCCGCTGCCCTCAGCCCACCTGAGCACGGCAGGCCTCGAAGGTGGCGCTGTTGATGAGGCTGCACTGCCGCTGGGCCCAGGACTTGCGGTAGGGGTTGGCGGTGCAGGGGTCCCGGGGGGCCGGGGCGTCAGGGCAGGTGGGGGAGAATTTCCAGCTGTTGCCGAACTCCAGAGCGTCGCCCACCACGGACTGGCTGCGCGTGGTGAAGTCGTTGATGGCGTTGTCGTCGAAGTTCCCGCACAGCCCGCAGACCCGCCCCTGCAGACGCAGAGACAGACGAGGGGTGTGTGGCGCTGGGGCTGCAGGGGGCAGCCTGGCCTGGGAGGGGTGAGTGCAGGGCCCCCGGTTCCCTCAGGCAGCACCCAGTAACCTAGCAGGAGGACAGGGTGCACAGTGGGTCCTGCAGTGGGTAAGAGACCAGGCGGGCAGGTGGGCAGGTGGGCAGGTGTACAGGCAGGCAGACAGGCAGTCAAATGGGCAGGTGAACAGGCGGGAAGGTGGACAGGTGGGAGGTGATCAGGTGGACAGAGCACAGAGGACAGGTGGACAGAGGACAGGTGGGCAGAGGGGCAGAGGGGCAGGTGGACAGAGGGGCAGGGGGGCAGAGGGGCAGGGGGGCAGAGGGGC